CGCATCTCGAGGCCGCTCCAGCTCATCCACACCGGTGCACCGAGGTCGCCGCGCCACCGCATAGAGGTTGCTACGCTGTCGAGCAGACGGGAAGGACGCGAGCACGGACGGAGGAGCCGCCGTGGGGAGTTCGGGAGGACCGGAGGAGGAGCTGGGCGGGACTGTCGCGACGGGAGGAGTCGGACATGGGGAGGAGGGTGCGACCGCGCGTGGAGGACGAGAGAGATCGAGAGATGACGGCTACTGGGAGGAATCCTTAGGGAGAGTTAGGGTTTAGTGTTATATACTCTTATCCAACGGCTATAATTGATCGGGCCGTGTCGTGCCGGCTCATTATCCGTGCCATGTCTGGACCGGCACTACGGGTCAAGATGACGGCCCAAGCACGGCACTATGATCGGGCCGTGCCAGGCATGGGCACGATGGTAGTTGCGGCGCCGGGCCGTGCTTCTTAGTGCCGTGCCTGGGCCGGACCATGGTGCCTGGGCCAGATGGCCAATATACCGAGCACATGTGTGTATATATATAATATTATAACGCAGCGATGGTCCCAATTTCATGCGTCTGCTCCAAAAGCGAACTGAGCAAACGGCAGAGGAGGGGCTGACATGGTACTGCTACGCCATTTGTATTGAACCAGCACCATCCATTAGATTTCGCTACTAAGACACGCCAACATCCAACATCCGGCAGCTACCACCCCCAGTGGGCAGTTACCATCCGTTTCCGAAAATCCGAAAATCCACTCTAATATTTATATACACACGTACACATACATAATACAAATGGATCGACATTGATCGAGTAGAGTTCCTTGTTCAACTTTGAAGATCAATGATGCTTGCACACGTGCATGTACGGATGAAATTAACGTACTCGCTCAATATGTTTCGTGGTCGATCCACCTCCACCGCCTCGATCTGAACGTACGGCGGTGGCACTAGATCAGGGCGGGCGGCAGCCGTGCGATCATGCTCGGTAGCAAGGAGAGGACGACGAGCCAGCTAGCGCACGTTCCATCAACAAATCAGTCGAGTCGGGCATGAGATCCATCGTACGTACCTCCTGTTTAGTTGGAGTACAACTGAGTGACCACTTGTCTCGTGGCTCTCCGATCGAGGTCCTTTTCTATGACTGTTCAGCGAAGGACAAATTTGATGCATAGGAGGATTCAAACCAATTGCGGGGATCATTTTAAGTCAATTATAAAATTTGATTCCTTGTATGACTTGGCTTATAAATTTGGTTAAACTTAAAACGAGTTGACTCTCCAAGAAAGTTAAAAACATAATTTCAAACGGATGGAGTAGTCCTGTTTTCGCTCAATGTGAAATTATTTTTTAAATTGTTTGATAGAGACGACTCTGAACCGGAGCAAATTTGTCATACAAGTAGAGAGGGCATTGGTCATAGGTCGTTAGTCAAGTCACGGAAGACCAATGCAACCCAGCCACACCACACGCATGCAGCGTCGTCACACATAACGATGTCATCATCTAGACGGAGAATACCAGTATTTTCCATTAACAATATGCGAAACCACGTCTGTCCATTGCACATACTAACTTATCTGGGACGTCGTCTGATGACGTGAAAATAAAAACCATATAGAATCATAACACAGAAAAAACTAGCAGCGTCAGTCATCGTGACAATAATGGAGTTGAGAAATCTTAGGAATTCGTAAGAAAACATCATTTACTTCCTCCGTCTTCAAAATACATGATGTTTTTGACTTTTAGACATCTTATTTAACTGTTTGTCTTATTTAAAATTTTATATAAATATTATTTATTTTGTTATGATTTATTTTATCATTAGAGATATTTTAATAATGACTTATTCATTTTATTATTTGCAAAAAAAATGAATAAGACAAATAGTCCAACATGATATCTAAAAGTAAAAAACATCATCTATTTTGGGACAGATGGAATAATTCATCGGTCCAATTCTTAGCGCGTGCAAATAAGATTCGTCGGCGCCATACACAAACTGTATTATTTTTTAATAATAAAGTAGGAATAATTTTGGCATAGAAAAAAAATCGCAAAATCGCTGTAAATTGAAACTTGAAAGCTAAGAAAAGCCAGCTAGAATCCGCCGGAAAGGGAAGTCTGTGCACCCCAACAGGAAATCGGTGCCCCGTTTTTCAAAAGCCCGTTTCCGTTATGAGTGTGGCGCCGCACCTCAACTACCTGCATAAAACCACGCTCGTCTTCATCTAGAAGCCCAGGACTTTCGCTGCTGCCCTCTTGCTCATCTCCTCTCCATCAAACACACATATATACATCTATGTGGATCGCGATGCAAAAAATGACAGTTGCAGTAAAAAAAATCTGCTAGAAACTACAGAGAGCCAGACACACACAAGGCACTTTACGTACACGTTTACAAGATTTATTTGTCCAAACTTAGATCGCACACGTGGCTCAATCATTGGCATGTACTGTATATGCATTTATCTCTCTTGTCCAGTTGTCCTTTTGGACAAGGGGGATACAGTCTTTTGACCATTTGCTAAATATAAAAAAAATAAATTCATGGTTAAATTACGATAACGTATTGAAATGTTTTTCTACGGAGAGTCATCTACGATGAGTTACGAGGCTTTTTCCTCGAATATATAGATAGGTGGACTGAGCATCTTTCTACTACCTCTATCCAAAATTTATTTTCTAGGTTTGGTTTCTCTTAAACTATTTTAAGTTTATTTTAAATTTTTATGAACAGTTGTTTATAATACTATCAACATTTATGATCACAAATAAATCCAAACTATAACGTGGCTCAATCATTTTACTGATTATTTGATTTAGCAATTTGCTAGAATTCTATATATCCTTTCTGGAACGAAGGTAAGTCTCCAATCTGAGAGGATTGGACGGGGATTGAGAAAAGACCTGTGTGGTTAAAGACACGTATTGAAATGTTTTTGACGAAACTCATGCTAAAAGAGTTGTTGAGTTTTTTCATCTCGAACAGACAGAGTCTCAAATATCGGTTTCTTACTACCATGCCATACAGTCGATCATCGTCCATCAGGTTTGGGAAAAACTCAAACTATTTTAAGTTTAACTAAATTTATGAAAAAAAAAATATAATACTATCAACATTTATGATCACAAATAAATGTACTATAACTCTAATCGATTTTTGGATTATTTGATTGAAGAATGATAGAAACACTTATCTTTCTGAACGAATGTAAGTGCCAATCTGAGAGGATTGACGGTTCTCAATTTTTGCATTTTGTCATTGAGAAAAAAGGTGTGGCCTTAAGATCACTATCAAACAATGAGAAACTCATGCTAAAAGACATGTTGCCGTTACATCTATGACAACAGAGTCTCAAATATCGGTAACTCATGCCATACAGTCGATCATCGTCCATCACTTGAGATGGGAAAAGAGGGAGAAATTGAATAATTTGGGCAAGAATCCTCTTCACGAAGCCGCCACTCTCCCTACATTCCTACGGTCCACCTCAACCTTTTAAGACACTACTATAAGTACGACATATACAATGAAGAAAACACGCAAAGGCATCACACTATCTCCAGTTTCACAAGATTTGTCCAAGCTACACGTGGTGCAACGACGTCATACAATCACTGGAATTTACTAGTCCTTTAAGACAAATATACTATGTTTTGTTGAACATATTTTTTTTAAAAAAAGTCTATGTAACTATGTGAACGTTATATAAATCTATTAACCACAAAACCTATTATATTGTAGCCCTTATAAAGTAGAGTATCTGACACAGCAAAACAATCTTTGGATCATTTGAATTGGATGTAGCACTGCAAAATAATTTTGGAGTAATTTGAACATTATTAGATACTTAGAGGACGATGGCACCTGATCGATTTCATAGTTAACTAATGAGTTATATAGTCGACCATCAATATATGTTGGGGGTATTATGTACAGATTTTTTTGTTTAGTTTCTCGATAAAATGCTGGAACTTTCATTGAACTAAAATGAAACGGTGTATACCTTAGAAAGTGGTCAAACTATTTATAACATAGTATGTATACTCAGTTATGTGATCAAAGTTTTGTTGAGTTACATCAGGGATATAAGTAGAAGAGCTTCAACTTTTTTGGTAGCACTTATCAATGTTCAAGTGTTCACTAAAAGTTGTTGGGCTGATTTGTTTGAGAAAATACTATTCATTAATTGTATGCAAGTTCTTTGACCTTGTATGGTGCTTGTATATTTTTTTAGTTTTTTTAGGATTTTTTTCATTTAGGGATAGATGACACACGTGTTAACAATGTGACGGTTATATTGACTTTGTCAATGTCAAGATCTAGTGGCGCTTTATTTTGATGAAAAACTCAAATAATATGGTATGCATGTGAGCGTTCATAAGAAAGTGAATCTGTTTGATTTGTGACCTGACAGACTGCTTGTCTGTCACGCAACACGCCGTATATGCATGCGATCGGGCTAAAATCTACCGTGAATGCTACCCCTAGCCCTTTATTAAACACTTGATAATCCCGTGTATAAGAAGATCATATTTTCTTTATAGGTACACGCTGCAGTCACTTGCGTCTTCTTTTCACCAAACGTGTAAATAAAAGTAAAACAAGCAGGAGTTTCTGAATTCCTGGCAATTCGATTACTCTGTCTCCAACACGTGGCACCTGGTCACTATCTCCCACCAAGGCTCGACCCCCCTCCCCCACTTCCACCACCCAACGTCTCCCCTGGTTGCGGTGCGCGCGGGTGCAGCTCCACGGGACGACGCCGTTATTACCCAGCCGTCTCCCCCGCCTCCACCTTCCCTCCCCCACGCGCGGGAGACGCAAACACACACATCTCTCTCTGCACAGCACCTGCTCTGTAGTCTGTACAGGGACCGACCGACCGATCGACTTCGTTCTTGGCTGGCCAGGCCATGCATCGTCGTCGGCCGGAGTTCAGCTTCCCGGCGGGCTCGTCTCCGGTGGGCGGGGGGCTGCCGCCGCGGCCGCCGGCGAACCCGATGGCGGCGCCGCGGTACGGGGACGAGGAGGAGGCGCGGTGGCTGAAGGCCTCGCCGGAGACGAACTACAGCTCCGGCGGGTCGGGGTCGGGATCGGGGTCGGGCACGCCGTCGCCGCAGCTGTGGGCGCACCAGCTCCACCGGCAGTACCCGGCGTCGGCGGGCAGCTCGCCGTCGCGGGCGCAGGCCATCGCGGGGTACCGCCGCGAGATGCTCGACCTCGTGCGGGGCCTCCCGGAGTCTGCATACGAGCTCTCGCTCCGCGACATCGTCGAGCACCACCACCCGTCCCCGCCCCGCGATCCTCCCTCTCCTCCTCATCCTCCGCCGGCTAGCACCGCCGGGGGGCGCCCGCGCCCCACGAGCCGCGCTGTCCTCGTCGTCCCCGCGGCTGCGCAGGAGAAGAAGGACGAGCCCGCCATCATGGCCACATCGGACGCCGAGGACGGCGGCGGGTCCAGGGGCAAGAAGAAGCAGGGGAGGAAGCAGAGGACGACGATGCGGAAGCAGCGGAGCCGGAGCATGGAGCGGAGCGTCAGCCTCGACACCGGCCTGCTCATCAAGCTCTTCCTCCCGCTCTCCATCGGCGGCAAGAAGAAGGTCTCACCCAAGCCCGACGACGGCAAGAAGAAGAAGAGTGAGAAGAAGAAGCAGGGGACGAAGAAGAAGGAGGCGGTGGCGGTGGCGGTGGCGACCGCGGCGGCCCCGGCGGCGCAGCAGCAGCAGGAGGAGTGGTGGACCAAGGGCGAGTTCAGCGAGGCCGGGAGCAGCAGCCGGACCAGCAGCACCGGCAGCAGCAACAGCAACAGCAGCGCCGCCAGCGTCAGGAATGTCAATGGCGGTGCCAATCCCAGAGCGCCGGCCAGGAGTTGGAGCAGGTAACTAACTTTTTTCCCCTTTCCCTTCTTAATTCTTAATTGCTTCAAGTTTTAGTTTAGCAGTATATCAGGTGGTTTGGCAGATTTTTGTTGTTCATTTCTTTAGAAATTCATCATTTATATTTTTATTCAAATGAAAATTATACAAATTTGTTTCGGTGGTTCATAGATTCTTTGGTTGGGGAATTGCTGTGCAAATTAAGGTTGATGGATATTTTTGTCTTCTAGTTCGGATTATCTCTTAATAAACCTGTTAAAGGGTACTAGAAATTAGCGAGAGTATAAAAATGCCATTTAAAATTTTGTAGTTCAGGAAGGAACCAGCATATTTCAATCTCCATATTGTTCAATTTTCCTTGAGAAACAGAAAACGGAGGAAATTTTGGTTTTGGCATTAAAGATAGAGATAAAGATAAAGGAACTTTTTTCAACAAATGCAAGAGAAGACAAAAATCTGCTCTAGAAGAAGCAAAAAACTTTTTCCAACAGATGGAGGAGACAAGCAGCTGTTCTAGACTTCTAGTAGTCTTCTAGAACGTGTATTTGTAGGTTAGTTTAAAAAAAAACAAAGAACACAAATTTGGAAAATGCCAGCTACTGAAGTCAGAGGTACACACTGAACCACCTATAAGGTTCCAAGGATGGAGATGGTAGTAATAAACTGGATCAAAGCATAGCCATCTATTTTGTCACTGAATACGTCTGGTGTGAAAAAAACCTGCACGGTTTAGGCTGCTAAGCATGCCACGATTCCCTGTGAAGTCAGCAAGCATGGAAGTCGCTTGAAGTCAGTTCTTGTCGCATCACAATCCAGCTTTGCTGTCAATTCCTGCTGCTCATGTTTCTTCTTTCTTGGTAAAGGGGGCACGAGCACGACTTCACATGAAGCTTTCTGTGGTCGTCTTCTCCTCTAGTCCCAGAAATTCTTGATGGTTTTACTAGAAGATTCCACAACTGGGCGTTAATTTTTGAAGTCGTGGCATTGCCTGATAAAAGTTTTTCTGAACACACTCAAACACGGCAGCTAAGCGTAGCGCTGTAGCAACAGATCTGAGCCATCCTCATATCATGAAAAATCGCGATTACTTGGCTAGTCAGATGATCTTATTCCTGAAATAAGATGATCAGATAATCACCTGCAACGGTAGTTAAGTTGTTTAATATGAAACTGCATCTTTGTAGCATCATTTGAGCAAGTGTCCGTTAGATCAATTCATCTCTTTTGGGACCTATCTGTTCATGTAGCCTAGTTTGGCCCCTTTCTGTCACGCCAAAGCACAAGGCTGACTGATTCCCACCTGATGAAGCCCAATCATTGCAGCAATGCTTTATGTCTCATTCTGCTATTGCTAATACCATCATTACATTGCCACTAAGAACTACTAGAGCATACCTAATTCAGTTCAGGTCTGGCTAGTCTAACCATCACTAATCTAATTAGCATTTCTTTGTTTGGCGCAGAAAGCGGACTGGGTGCTATGCTTTTTTCAGGGCAAACAAGGGCAAAAATGGAGTAAACCAAGACTAGAATGATGACAAGGCCACCATCACCATGAAAAGGGGAAATGCTTCTCCGGTGAAATGTTCATGGAAACCATCAGCACTGTCACACAGCACAAGAAGCTCAACAAATGTCCATACCTAAATTGATGCTATGCAGTGCCTGATTTTTGTACACAGATACTGGCATCTCTGCATTGTCGTCCTTTTCTTTCTATTTGGCATGTGATCTTCATGGTATAAACAAAAGGACATGTAACGTGTAGTAGCATACAATATTTGACTGGTTCACACTTCATAGAGAATATTAAGGACAGGACACTGGAGGCAGTGACGCCAATGAATACTTGCAAAATCTTGTGTATTTTCTTGACTCGGTCACATTCTCTCCTGTACTATCTTCTATTTGTACATATCCTACATCGTTCCTTTACTGAGAACCTTCAGGGCTAATGTACAATCTTTGTCAGTTGTTGTGAATAGAAAACAGAGGTTGTGGACGATGATCATCATTTTTTTTTAGTGTTGTTCAATCTTGACGATGATGGTGTACAATCTTGACCAACCATTCTCTTTCTTTGAACTTGTGTCCTCCAAATGATCAACGAGAAGAGAAGATCCACGAGATCTACAGATATCTTTGTTTTTCAGGTCCTTTTTGGATCCTATGAGCCAACGCATGATACCTACCCTAACAATATAGGACAAAATAAGGCGACTTTCTAGACCTGATCATTTCTTGAAATGGAATGCAACGGGAAGAACCTACGGCTGATGATGCCTTGCAGGTTAGACTGCCTGGTGGAGCCCAGGAATCTGCCATTTTTGTTACGAACTAACTATACTTAAGATGATTAAGCAAGAGAAGTTACTATTTCTGCTGGCCCAAGCCCAACATCTCCGAATGAAGGGGTGTTGAGCAGAGGATCTGGTATAGATTCTATGACCCAACAATTTCTTTTAAGAAAGCTAAACAACACTCGAATTTTTTATAGAAATCGACGAATGCAACGTACTTGGCTTCTACTCTTGAGGAAGAACTCCAATTCTCATCTTCTGGTAAGAAGATTAAGTTGAATATAGGCTTAGAGTTTAAAATGGCTAGAGGCAGTACCTCACCATAAATTTAAAGATGGAATAGGCTTAAATACCTAAAGTTCTTACAACGTCTAGAGGCAGTTCCACCATTCAAAATTATGGTAAGATCCGTCCCTGTTGATGAAAAGGTTCTCCCTGCAAAATTCTTGCGATACATGGACAAGAATACTGTATATTTGAAGTGCTCCTTCATCTTGTTGCCATGCCAAAGTGGTTTAGGGCTTGTTTGGTAGAGCACCCAGAGTTGCTTCTAGGCTAAATCCAGGAGGAGCTCTGCCAAACAATTTTTTTACTGAGAAGTGATTCCATACTGATCCTGTGGAATGATTCTCTGAAATGAAAGGGGCTAGGAGTGAAAAAATAGCTTCTCTTGATTCATTCCACCTATGGAATCATTGTATGCATAGAGTTTATCCTAGAAAACCATAGAGAAACATTTTCGATTAGAGAATCACTTCTCTCATAGAATCAGCTTCTACAGAGAATCTGGAGTAGGAGGAGCTCTACCAAACAGGCCCTTAGCCAAAACCACCCAAACCGATGATAGAAACTAGATTGGTGAATAAACTATTTAGTCAAAGCAGAAACTTAACAGTAAATGTAAACTACATTAGTTCCCGGGGGATGAAGGCAGGTCTAGGTAAGCGTATCATCAGAAATAGAAAAGGATCTACTTGTAAGAGAAATATGTAACAATAATCATCAGTAGCTAGTTCTCAATGAAAGAATAAAAAGTTTTTCCCATTTATCTGAAGACATCATGTGTAATCTGTGCAAATGGAAATTATGGAACTCAAATCAAAACACTTTCAAATGGAATGCAAGAGCACAAAAAACAAAATTAGTATGACAGACACCCATGATTTGTAGCACCCTGATACGGGCCACCAAACTCTGCTGTCACAGCATGTGGATCTACATACAAAAACAGAGTTGAATGGTTTCCAGAAGCAGAGGTGAATGGTACTCACAAACAGAGTCTTTTTTTTAGGAAACGAAACAGCAAACATCCATTCCAGCTTTTGCTAGCACCGGATGGCCTCCACTCCTTATTGATCGGATGCTAGGATCATCTTGTCCTCAAAATGTCTGATTAGCTCGAGGGTGGGGTGGTTGGGATGTACCTCTGCAGAGCGTCTCAGCGCAGCCTCTGCTTCCTCCACCTCCACCACAGAGGCACCCTGACAGCCAATTCTGACGGTGACTTTCTTAAGTGCGGTGAGGTATTCCAGACCAATACTGCTGCAGTAACCGTTGCAATATTTCATGGTCTGGACGAAGAAAAAGAATTCGAGAAATTCAAGGCATGGCATAACGGTAGGTGCTACGCTGCCTTAGCCATCCTTTCTAGTACCAAAGGGCGTAGCATCCTCCCCATTCCACATATGAAATGAAACGCTGGAGTCCTCATTTCGCAGGAACTGGACCATTGAAGAAAGCATCGAGCAGGACCTCAGCTTCTTGAAATACCCACCTTCAGCAATGTTACTGATTGTCACCGTGGAGCTTGTTGGAAGTAGGAGATCATGGAGCTCTGGCATCTTACCAATGACTTTGAGATCCTGCTCTTCGATGGTAACCGCATGAACACACAAGTGGGACAGAAGACAGGAGGGATTGATAATCCACGACGGCAGTGTAGGAAACATAATGCATCCTAGTAGCAGGCGCCGGAGCTTTGGAGGGGGTACAAAGCCTTCCGCCTCCCAGCTCACTTTACTCATCCAGGGCGAAGCATCCACAGTATCATCAATAGCTGGATATATAATTTCTAGATGTATATACTTGATCTCCTTCAGATTGCATAGAGACTTCACCAAATCTCTCTCCATGTCCTCATCCAACACAGCAATGCCAGCACGGAGGACCCGCAGTCCTGTTAGGCTGCCCAGTTCCTTCACAAACCGTCTTGCAGACCTGTCGTTGGCACCACGGTATATCCGTAAGTCCTCCAGGGACGTAAGCATCCCTATCCAATTTGGTGTTCTCGTCTTCCATTCAGCACGTAGGCACATTAATTGTGGCAGCAACCGGAGGCTTGATGGCAGTTCTTCTATCCCCGTTCCATTCAACAGCAGTGTCTGCAAAAACCTCAAATGTCCTATTTCTTTCGGGAGCACATGGATGTTTGTCTCCATTAGTCCAAGGTACCTTAAGTGAAGTAAACTCCCAAGATGCTCATGTTGGTAACCTTCCTTAAACTTGCAATACTCAATAGCTAGCACACGTAATACTCGAAAGCTCAAAAGTGGGACCATCTTGCCAATAGCACAATAACAGGTAATAAATGACCTCAGTTGTGGCATGCCCGTATTTTTAGCTTGAGGGTTATGTTCCACAGTTCTATTTTGGTGGGATAGCCTGCGTATGCTGCTTTGTGGTAATGTTTCTTCTCTATCTAATCCA